CGTTGATCATCCCGAAGTAATCCTCCAGCTCCAGCCTTCCCCGGGTTACCTTGGGACGCTCCATCGACGTTCAACTTATACCAGCCTGCCGGAGGGGCCGACCAGCTGATATCCGCTGCTACTCGGTTCGTCTTCTGCAGGTTCCTCTGTAGCAGGGGAGAGGGGGCAGTCCAGGTGGTATGCCAAAGGTTCGTCTTCAAACGGATCGCGTGCAAGAGGGAAGGAGGAGATAGCACTTTGCTGCCACCGCCCAATGCCCCTTCATTTCGGTTTTTCCATATTGTCCAAAGAGCAATGGTGAACTTCATCGCCCAAGGAGTGCCGTTCACGTCACAGTTTGAGCTGAGAATGTTCTTCTGAAGCCACTGATCTAAACCTGCAGAGAGGAAGTCCACGATCTCATTTGCAGGAACTTCCCTAACCCAGAAGTAAAGAGAAGCCGGGCAATCTCTCAGAATGTGGAGTTCCGTCTCCGGGCAGGTGGTGCACTTGTAGCAGAAGGGATTCGGGGCCAGGTTCTTGTCATAACGACGCTGGTTGGTGTTGATCCGGTGAAGGAGAAGAATCCAAGTGAAATGTCGTACCCTCTCTGGAACTTGAAGTTGCCACACTCGCTTCCATATCTGACCAACTGGGCTTGGGGGAGCAAGATACGCTAGCTGGTAAGAAGATTTAGTGGTGAATTTACCATTGGAGGTGGCCTACCAGATCAGTTCGTCTTCCTGAGTGGTTAATGGATCAACTGCTATGGCCGTGATGATGTCTACAACTTTTGTTGGCAGAAGTTGGTGAAGGAGATCAGTCCTCCATCTCCTTGCGTCATCAATGTAGGTAGCAACTGAATTATGAATTTCCTCTTCTTGAATTGGGGCAGACGACACCGTGCTGAGGGGTACCTGCAGAGCCCAAATATCAGTCCAGAATTTGGTGTTCTTACCATTTAAAATAGACAAAGCACACCCTTTCTTAAGCAGGGGAGTTGCTTTGGAGATACTTCTCCAAGTGAAGGAACTTCCCTGTTTGGTTTCTAGGATTGAGATGTCCTGCTTGTTGCGTCCGTATTTTCCTCGTACTACTTGAGTCCAGAGGGTGTCCTTCTCTTTCAGGACTCTCCATCCATTCTTAGCAAGAAGCGCCATATTAGTATGTCGAAGGGATCTCAGACCCGCCCCTCCACATTCCTTTGGTTCCAAGAGCTTCTTCCATCCCACCAGATGAGAATGCTTTCTGAATCCCCCCATACGAACGCTCTGTTGATGCTGTCAATTTCCTTGCAGACTGCTGCTGGAATCATCTCTGTCTGCATGGGATAAACAGGAATAGACGTAGAAACAGAGCGAGCAATAGTGAGACGACCAGCAAGGGATAGTGTCTTAGCTTTCCAAGTCGAGAGTTTCTTCTAAACTTTGAGCACTAGGTCCCTATATCGGTCTTTGGTCACCCTGGAGTTGATAGCCATCACAGTGATATCTGCCAAGGTCCAAGGTAAGTGGGATCCTGGCCCTGCTACTGTAGTATGTAGTTGTATCCCTCGTAATGTTCGGTGAGACAAAGAGTAGGGATTTCTGCAAATTCACTCGTTGGCCCGAACTGCTGCAAAACTCCTCCGGGCATTTCTTCATAATATTGATTTGGCTCAGCCCTGCCTCTGCAAAAAGCATAAGATCTTCTGCAAAAAAGAGGTGAGAAAGTTTCGGACCACCGGGAGATAGCGTAAGGGGTTTCCATCGCTTCTCTTCAATGGCCAAGTCAATTCTGTGAGATAGGCATTCCATGCATAAAACAAACAGATAAGGGGAAAGAGGGTCTCCCTGGCGAACTCCTCTAGAAGGAGTAATGGGATGGGAGAGCTCGCCATTCCAAGAGATCCTCATCTTGTTCTTCTCCACACATTACATAATGCAGTTGATCCACGTGCTGGGCAACCCAACCTCTATAAGAGTGTCCCGAAGAAAATCCCACCGGAGGCGGTCATAGGCTTTCTCAAGATCGATCTTAACCACTATGCCGCCTCTTCTCCCCTTGCGCTTCCGGAGAGAGTGAAGGACTTCTTGGACCACGATGATATTGTCTGTTGTCTGCCTGCCTAGAATAAAACTGCTCTGTCTAGGGGAAACCCACTTCCTCATCAGGTGCTTAAGACGATTCGGCATTGCCTTCGTGATAGCTTTCAAGCTTACATTATTCAATGAAATAGGCCTGAGTTGGTAGACCAGTTCTGGAGTATCCACTTTCCGAATTATAATGAGCGTGGAATCCGTGATTGCGTCCTCCGACTGACCTGTCTCAAAGAAATCCAGAGTCATTTTAGTGAAAGCCTTACCCACAACCTGCCAATTACTCTGGTAAAACAAAGCTTGAAAGCCATCGGGACCAGGGGCTTGCAGGGGTTTCATGTCCTGGATGGCCTTGAGGATGTCGACGGTCGTGAAAAGGCGAAGGAGGCAAAGATCCTGCTGAGAGGCTCGTGGAAACCTGTTCTTGGGCAAAAGATCCACATAGTCCAAGTGATCCTGCGAAAATAAACTCACAAAAGAGTCAAAGACAAACTTAGCGAGAACATCAGGGTCACTAATCCACTCCCCATTAGCATCCTTCAAACTGAGGATCTTATTCCTTCTTCTCCTTATGCTTGCTTGCTGGTGGAAATAGCCGGTGTTACGGTCTCCAAATTTGACCCACTGCTCCCTCGAACGCTGGAACCAAATCATCTCTTCTTGCTCCATAATTCCATCCAACTCCTTCTCTAGTTTGCTGAGAAGCTTTGCAAGACCAGGGTGAAAAGCACTAGCAAGGCGAATTTGAATCCCTTTAATCCTGTTAAGGATAGCCCGCTTCTGTTTGAACAGGTTCCCAACAGTCTGCGAGCTCCATTCTTTTAAGTCTCCTGCCAGCTTCTGAAGGAACTAAAACAAATTCCTAAACTACCACACTTTTAAAAAAAATTCCCAAAATACTTAAGTTTGGAGTGGTTCGAGTTTGAGGAACTCGAACTACTAACCGGTTCGAGTTTAGGAGACTCGATCTAGTCGTAGATCGATGATATAAGCCTCGAACCATGTGGAGCTGAAGTGGTTCGAGTTTAGTGAACTCGAACCACTCCTTTGAAATTTCCAACAACCTTAACTTTGTGCTCGGTTGTCCGATCGTAGCAAACTTTTTTTTCATTTCACATAACTTTTCGAGGAGTACAACTTTTATAATAGAAATATTTTCAGAATATATGTGAAAATGTGAAAAATAAAGTTAAATTTACTCCCAAACCATTTTATATTAAAAACTGTTCCTATTTTGAAAATTTATTCCTAGTAAATGTTGTAGTACTCAAAAAATTATGCAAAATTAAAAAAAAAACTTTGCGACATTCGGATTGCGGAGCACAAAGTTATGATCCTCTAAAGTTTGGCAAAATCGAAAAATTGCTCATTTAGGGGTAACAAATGACATTTTCTCGGGGCGAAGGCACAGGAAATTTTTTTATATATAGGGAATTTCTGCCAAAAGAGCAATATTTTTCCAAACGAGAAATTTTTGAATGGCTATCTTCCTAAAAAACGTCATTTGCTACCCATAAACGAGCAAATTTTCGAATTTGTCAAACTTTGGAGGATCATAACTTTGTGCTCCGCAATCCGAACGTCGCAAATTTTTTTTTTTGTTTTGCATAATTTTTTGAGTACTACAACATTTACTAGGAATAAATTTTCAAAATAGGAATAGTTTTTAATATAAGGTGGTTTGGGAGTACATTTAACTTTATTTTTCACATTTTCACATATATTCTAAAAATATTTCTATTATAAAAGTTGTAGTCCTCAAAAAGTTATGCGAAATGAAAATTTTTTTTGCTACGATCGGATAACCGAGCACAAAGTTAAGGTTGTTGGAAATTTCAAAGGAGTGGTTCGAGTTCACTTCAGCTCCACATGGTTCGAGGCTTATATCATCGATCTAAGACTAGATCAAGTCTCCTAAACTCGAACCGGTTAGCAGTTCGAGTTCCTCAAACTCGAACCACTCCAAACTTAGGTATTTTGGGAAAAAATTTTAAAAGTGTGGTAGTTTAGGAATTTGTTTTAGTTTTATCTGTATTTAGGGAATTAATCCCTTCTGAAGGGAACTATGCAGCGGGATATTAGGGTCCCAGCTACCTGTCAAGAAGGCAGAGAAGTCAGAATGCAATAGCCAGGCAGCCTCGAATTTAAAGGATCGGGAATGGGTGTTGGGGGCTCCCTGAACTCCAGTGGAGGTGAGAATAGGAGAGTGGTCCGATTGAAGGCGAGGAAGGTGAAGGACTGAGGACGCGGGGAAGGTCGTGTTCCATCCAATGTTGCACAGACTGCGATCGATTCTGCTAGCTTTGAAAGTCTGCGCGGAATCCCCTCTTGACCAGGTGAACCGTGGATCAGAGAAGCCCAGATCAATGAGTCCTCCACGATCAATAAACTCGTTAAAAAGTCGGCAACGGCGGGCTGTGTTTGCCGATGCTAGACCCGACTTCTCGTCAAGGGAGCGGAAGGAGTTGAAATCTCCTGTGATCAGCCAAGGAATGGACGACGAAGAGCTGAAGTCAATAAGCTTCTTCCAAAGATGCGGCTGCAACTGGTAGTTAGGGGAAGCATAAACTGCAGTAAGGTGAAAAAGAAAAGGAAGAGCTATTAGAGATTTTGACTGTGAGGTGCTGAGAGCACGCTGAGACGATCTCCACGATGAAGTTCCTCTTGTCCAAACACATCCAAATGCCCCCACTCCTACCCTGCGCCTCAACTCGAAGGATGTCAGGAAACCCCAATTTGATGCAAACAACATCAGCAATTGAGCCACTGATTTGAGGTTCCAAAAGAATTAGAAAATCCGGCTTGTTCTGCAGGATCAGCAGTTTGAAAGCCCTGATGAAAGCTCTGCTACCTGCACCACCCACATTCCATGACATAACTTTAAGATTGGGAAGAACTAACATAGCAAAATAAAATAAGGGGAAAGAAGAGGAGGGGAAACGTCTAGAGCTCGGTGGTGTCCATGCTCGCTTGCGCGGCGACACTCGAACTAACATCCGACGTCTGCTTCCGGGCAGCCGAGCTACAAGCTTCTATCTCCTGGAGCGTTAGCGTAACCAACTTCTCTCTATTCTTTATCTTCTTCTCTTTTTTCGGCGACCAGATATGGAGGGGTTTGGCCGTATTATTGATCGGAATTCCACTTTTTGTTGGTCGGGGAGTCTTTTTCTGGCCATTCTTGATTCGCAGGCTCGAGAGAGGGATGTCGGGATCAGTTGCTCGGGGAGGAGGCGGCTCCGGGCACGAGACGTCGGTGATAGTGACAAGTTCCCCATTGGGCACAAACACAGTACGCGAGTTGCCCATGGTGGCCTGGTTGATTGGGTCGGCGTTCAGGTCGGGAGTGGGAGGAGTCTGTGATAGGGGGGTCTGGGAGGAGGTTGGGCTTGGGCCTAAGATTCCCTTGCCATCAAACTTGGGAGAGTCGCCATTTGGAGAGACGTTACTTGGACCACCCAATTTATCCATTAGGTCTGCCAGAGTAGATTGCCCGCCACTATTCTTCTTCCTTTCCCTTTCCTGTTGAGCGGTGCTGGACGATGACGTTCCTCCCTGATTTTTCGCTTTGCTTTTCTGATCCTCCTTTTTCGGTGCCATCCCTCCGGACTGATGCACGTTAGACTTTCCTTTCCCGTTCGTTGAGAGATTTTTTCCGGTGCCAGTTGGAAGGTCTCCAACGTCCTTTCGCCCTTGAATCTGTTTCCCGATTTTGGCCTCCTGGAAGTGTGCCTGATTGTTCGCCTGTTGTGCTGGGATCTTCCGATCTGATTTGCGCGACTTCCGTGTTACTTGCATCCAGGGCCCGAAGCCTGCGGGAGTGTCTGAATCTGCCATCGCCGGCAGCGGGCCGACATCCGGTTGACCGGGCGTCGCCGCCGTGGAGGAAACCGTAGCTTGATGAAGCTGAGGACATGAACTGTCTGTGTGACCAATAATTCCACACTCAAAGCAGGCATTCGGCAGGTTTTCATACACCACTTTTTGCCAGAACCCATCCAGCCTAATTCTTGGTCTCAAAGGTTTTGTCAAATCTAGCTCAATAGCGATACGAGCGAATTTCCCACGAACACCATTCTCCGTATGATAATCGAGCTTAATTGTCCTGCCAAGAAGGTTACCAAGGGGAAAAAACACCTCTCTATTGTAGAACTGTATTGGGAGCCGAGGGAACTGAACCCAGGCCGTCACCGTTCTCGGTGTTTGCTCGCCGACCCGAAAGGCTGGGGTCCACTGATGCACTACCAGATAGTGATCGAGGATTGTCCATGGTCCTCCTGTAAGAGCCTTGAAATAATAATTGTCATTGTCAAAAGAAACCAGGAACACGTCGTTGTCGAGATCCATAATGTCTAGCTTCCCGGTGGGACACCATAGCCACCGGAGCTGGGAGCATAGATAAGCATATGATATCTGGCGACCCAGCAGGCGGACGACGAGCGTCTTCTTCCATGGGTCGCACAGCCTGGCTTTGAAGCCCTCCGAGACTTTCAGCTCCGGCTCGCCGTTGAAGGAGCCTGGCAGCAGATCATGTTCACCCACATAAGTCCAAGGCACAATCGGTAGCTTTGTTTTACTCGGAGACCCTGTCACCGCTAAACTATACGAGATCGACAGCTGGACTTTTTTAGATTGACTCGCAGCGCCGGCAGGAGCCCCATTGGCTTCTTGATGAGATGCCAGTAGGCCGGGTCCGTCTTTACTGGTCGTCGACTCAACCGCCACCGGGGGGGGGGGGGGATTTGATTCCTTCATTTCCACCTCCGGCGGTCTATTGGTAGGTGGAAGAATCAGTGTCGGAGCCGTAACCGGAGACTTTTCGGTAGAGAGCATCGAGATCACTATTTATGGTTTGATTTAATATTTGTGTTTTGTGTTTTTTATTGTCAACTCAAATTTTTTGCAATCCACATCACATTTATTTCATTCACCTACATCAATGCAATTAATTTGCAATTGCAAATGTAATTAAATATTATATTTAAATTATAGAAAATTAAGTAAAAGAGAAAATAAAAAAATAAAAAAATCCTCATTTTTTAGGCTTTTTTGACTTGCATATGGAATTGCATTTGTTGCAAGCTTGCAAATATGCAATTGGTAGCCACATCAATGCAATTGGTTTTGGAATTGCAAACACCTATGCCATGTCATTTTGCAATTGAGAATGCAATACCAATGTGGATGCTCTAAGTTAGATCCAATAAAGAGAGATCAAGCCCGCCACTGTGATCATAGAATGCAACGAGCCTCCTTCTAAGCTAGCCAGCCAGCCGAAGGAAGGATGGGCATCGGGCCTTAAGTTTTCAACTTGAAGCCCAAGCCCGCTAAGTTATTACATTAGGCTTTCGAGGCCCGGGCAATACTAATCTTGGATCGTTGTCAACTAATCTTCCTTCCTCCTCCATTAGATTATGAAGGGACTAGATAGGGTGACAACACCCCTTGTGTTGTTATTGTAACAACACTAGCGTGGGCCCCGAGTATTTGGCCGGAGAAAGCTGAGGTATGAAATTTGATAATGTAATGGGGTGTAGCTTATTGTTGTATATTTTTTTTGGAAACACGTGATAAAAATATTGAATTTTAGTAGGAAAGAGACATGAATGATGCAACGAATAAAAAATCAGTCTTATGAACCAAAATCAAGTACATGTTACCTTGTGAAATAATATTGTTTCTGGTAATATGATGAAGTATAGTAAGTTTTATAGAAACCGAATTCCAGAAAATCGAATAAAAAATCGCCTATCCTGCCAGTTTTCATGAAATGAGCATCTCACAATCGTTGCTAACTTTTACTCGGCCCGTTGGCTGATTAATTTGCTTTATAAAACTTTCATCTTGTCGTCATTGTGCTTTTTGGTTTTTGCCATGCCATGATAAAATCTAAAGAAATCAAGAATGAACAACACGATTTGGGATAGAAACCGTCATTCCTGTATCCCTAGAAAATAGTGGTAAACACGAACTCACCTGCCAAACTGGTTTGGATTGAGACTTTTATTGGGTATCAGAGAACCATGTGATTATAAATTAGACTTGATCAAAATGGGTCAAAACTTGAAATTCAGCATGTTTGACCGACCCATGTCAAACTCTAATTATTCTTTACTTTTAAACTTTCTATTTGAAAATAAAAAATAGTGAAAGAAAAGAGATTACTGCAATTCACCATTTGCACATCACTGATTCGGGAATAAAACCATAGTAATTCAAAAGGAAACTGAAAATGTTTAGGATCGTTTTAATGTTAAAAATAATCAAATAGATCTTTCTGTTTAGTTTTTTACTAACAAATACCAAACGATTCCCTATAAAATACACTATAATTTAATCATCATGATATCAAATAATTACATAATATATATTTGAAATGATAAAAATTGGACTAATTGGGTTGGTCGAGGTTGAAGCATTGAATAACTTTATAATACATTATATTTTAGCCACCAAGATATAAAATAATAGCATAATATATATTATGCTAGAGAAAATAGCTTGTTTAAGAATGGCAAACCCATGAAGTTCATTTATTTTACTTGATGGCCAAATCCCGTGTAGATCAGGCCCATTCAACTCTTTTATTTTATGGTTAGCGGTTAGTCCATTAGAATCCATGCATTAGTTTATTCTTAAATTTTTTTCTTTTTAGCAATAAAAAGAAGTATTGTTTTTGCATTTCCAAATATATTTTACCACCACAGAGAAATAAAAGTGCTTAAAGAAAAAAATTGACACTCCTGGACCCGTTTAAATCCGCATGTGTACGGTAAGTTGGCCCGTTCCACAGAGGAAAAAGAAAAAAATCGACATTCTCTATTCTACCCTTCCTACAAACGCTCCTGGAGCAAGGAATTTAAAATGAGGGAAGGGTTTTTTTTCCTCTCTGCTATTATATGTTTTTAATTTAAAAAGATACAACAAATGTACTTAGTGTGATTGGTTATGATATTTGTTTTTCTTTAAAGTAGTCATGGTTCGAATCTTAGTACGTGTCTTTTTAATGAATAAAAAAAAAGTAATTGTGAAGACCAAAATGTCCTTCCAACTTTCACTCTCGTTGCAACAAATTTGAAATGGAGCAATAGTTTTCCCCTTCGTGCTATTATATATTGTGTAGACTAGTCTTCAACCAATAGGAAGTTAGGGATGTGATGATTTTTTATTTTTTATTTAAAAAATATTTTTTTATTTTCTGCCCAAACTTTTGTTGCCGGAATTCGGCCACCGGTCGCCGGAATCTGGTCGCTGGTCACCGGAATATGCTTTTTGTCACCGGAATATGCTATTTTATCGTCGGAATATGCCCACCGTCGCCAGAATCAAATAACCGTGGTCGGAATATGCTTACCGGCATCAAAATCTACTCATCGAGACCAGAATATGTTTTTCAGTGTCGGAATCCGGTCACCCACGGTCATCGAAGTTTGGTCAATAATTTTCGTTGACCGGTCAACGACCACAGGATATTATGGTTTGCATTGTGAGATTGATGGTTTGGTATCTCGTGTTTTTTGTATTCTATTTGTGGTTTATTTTATCGTGTTACTGGTTTGCATTAAGAAGTTTTTGGTGTGCTTTAAAAAAATATTGTGGTTTGTTTGGAGGGTTTCTGGTTTGTTTTAATAGATTTGTGGTCTGCATTAGGACGTTTCTGGTTTTCTTTTTGTGATTTCCTTTACAGTGTCTGTGGTTTGCATTATGAGGTTTCTGGTATGCTTATGAAATATTTTGTGGTTTGCTTTGTGGGGTTTCTCGTCTGTTTTAGTTGATTTGTGGTCTGCATTAGGAGGTATCTGATATGCTTTTTGTGGTTTGTTTTACCGTGTTTGTGGTCTACATTAGGAGGTTTATGGTGTGCTTTTGAAATATTTGTGGTTTGCTTTATGGTGTTTCTAGTATGTTTTAGGCGATTTGTAGTCTGCATTATGAGGTTTTTGGTGCGCTTTAGAAACATTTGTGGTGTGTTTTTATGGTGTTTTTGGTATGTTTTCAGGAGATTTATGGTTTACATTACAAGGTTTTTGGTGTGTTTTATAGTATGTTTTATTGGGTTTATCAAAATGCCTCTGTCTCTCTTTGAGTGATATAGAAGCAGTCTCGTTGAGTTAATTTTGTTCCCCCGCCCCCCACAAATTAATGAAACATAACACAAGTTTTTCCATCTCTTTCATCAACATCATCAACCCATATAACCTCACTATTCATGCTAATTGACCAATCCCCCAAAACCATGGCCATCAACTCCTAGTCACCATCGACAATGCCAATGCTTTTTTATCTCACTTATTACAATAGCTAGCTGCTGGTGTTGAAAGACAAGCTACCACTCTCCAGACAGCTCATCTGTCACCATTATTTTTCCTAGATAACTCTCCACACTTCACACAACCCAGCTCATCGTAAATCCTTCCAATAGAGGGTAGTTCCCCTGCTTTTATTCTCGCATCGAAAGTCGGACTCGGCGATGTCGTTCTTCATATCAATTCGACGGCGGCAGCAACAGCCTCTTCCCACCATTTCACCCCGTTTAGGCAGCATCGTCGATGTTTCAATTCCATCCACACAATTTTGCAGACAATTTTTCCCCAATCCCGAGCTCAACCACGATAATTTTTTCCCCAATCCCGAGCTCAATCACGAGCAAACAGCAAATTCAACGACAATTTCACCGACGATGCAGCTGATGCGATGGCGCCAGCGATGGTAGAGATGCGGACTGGCGCCGCCGATGGCAGAAACTCGGGATAGGTTAGCGACTTCCGTCAGAGCATTTGTCCAGTTCCACACCTTGTTGCCGGCGGAAACTCTGTCGCGTTTAGCAAAAGCGACACCGAAGATGTTTCCTACCTTCTGCTTCCTCACATCAGATGGATCACCTCGTCGAAAATCGACACAGATCTTAGATCCCTCCGTTTATGGCACCGAAGTATGTGAACCAGCTCGTCGAGACACTAGGTGGAATCGGCGTGAGCATTCGACGGCATAAGCAGTCGAAGTTGTAGTTGGGAAGCAGAGAACATCGGTGACAATACATTGACGGTGATTGATGAGTGCTAGAAGAATATAACGGAGAAATAAAACGCCCGATGACAGAACAAGCAAGCGTGGCGGGGGCGGCAGGTGGCGGGGAAGAAGGGGAGCGGAGGAGAAGCATCGCAATGGGGTTGAAGGAAGATTAGATTTGGGCAGAGGATTGTGAATTTTAATCCAATTATTTTATTACTTTCTGTGTAATTTACTCTTTTGCCCTTAATGAATTATGATGTAACTATAACAACACTTTAAGTGTTATTATACTATCCAGACCCCATTATGAAGGTTCTTCTCCAGCACCCAATTAG